GACATCCCTTAGGCTTCCTGAAAGTTTTTCTTGTTGAAGATTGGTCTAAAATAATACCCTCTAAGAAATATGATACCTATATGATGCATGCAATAAAATTGAAGACAACAAAAGAATTAAACAAATCAATAATGTAAATAAAATAAATAAATAAAAAATGAGTAAATGAATGAACAAGTATAATATACGACATAACGAAATATACATAGTGTCTTAGCTTAGGTAATTTTCTCGTAAAAGGGATAACATGGCTCTATCCTAAGGTTGGACCTTACGACTCACTATATGTCGGGTTAAGATTTACATGTCTAAAGGTTCCTAGATTATTCCTCACATCATCGTCCATTATAGACTAGTAAGACTTCTTATCCTCACCCATTACAGGCTACTAACGGAATGGGTTCAATCTGAGTAAAAGTGTTTCGCTAGTAAATAGGGAGATTATCACCTCATAAGAGCATAGCTACTTCACTTCTCCTAAAAGAAATAGAGCCTGGATCTAAAGCTCATGCATGAATATGCAAAAATGTGTGCAAAGTTATATATTAATCAACTTAACATAAATAAATCATAACATAAAACTAAAGCAAAGTAATAACTAACATACGCTTCATTTTATTCATTAATCTCTATATTTTTAAAAAATAAAATAAATGAATTAAATTAAATACCAAATAAACCCGATTAAATCCAATCATTGTCAATAACACATAATAAAAATTTTGGCCTGACTCTCAAAGGTCCCCAATGGAGTCGTCAAGCTGTCATAATGGTTTTGAGATCACCAGACGTAAAGGATTTTAAAATCAAGAAAAAAGAAGTCACCACCAATCTTTTTTAGGGTGTGATTGGCCACCCAAAAGTTTATTTTTTTAATAAAACTATAAAAGCGACTTTAAAGTTTATCAAAAAGATAAATTTTAGTCTGCGAAAATCAAGTTAGGTCTAGGAGTCGGTTACGTGTGGGGAATGATTAACACCCCCACAACGCCTATAAATTGGTACCATTTAATTACGTGCTATTTTCGGTGTTGAATAAAAATGATTTCAATTTGAAATTTAACACTAATTCCCTTCACTTAAAAAAAAATAAATTTTGGTTAAAATTCTTTTATAGGAATATTAAAGAAATCTTTAAGTTAAAAAATTATCTTAAAATTCTCCAACATCTAGATAGAATTTAAAATAACTCTTCTCGCTTAAGATTAAACAAAATACTCCTTAAAATAAAAATAACACTCTTTGTGAAAGATAATTATTAGTGACTCTCTAATATCTAGGCAGAGTACAAAGAATTATTTCCTTTAGAATGTTATATTTATTTTATTTTATAATATCATAATTTTAAAATTAAGTAAATTAAAAAATATATTTTTGTGCGAAAAAGTAAATGATGGTATTATCAGATAGCAAGTAACAATTAAAGAAAAAGAAATGCAAACAAGTGCAAAAGTAACAAATAAATGTATGTAAGCCAATAAATGTTGTGTATGATAATGAAGTGCAAATTTGAAATTGGATTCTTAAATATAATGAAACCACCCTGACTCCCCATCATCTAGGCGAAGCTTTGGTGTGACTATTTATATTTAAGACCCCATTTTATTATTATTTCTTTTTTATTATTAAACAATAATTAACCCCATTGTTAAAGAGAATTAAGGACTCATGAGAAAAACTTAATGGAATAAGATTTCTTTAAATACCCCATCATCTAAGCGACATTCAAGAACAAATTACTCCAATTAAGATCTTCGCACGTATCCTCAAATTTTCAAAAAGATTTTGAGTATAGGTTTAGGTCGAGGTTTTAAGATTTTGTGAGTTTCGGGCAATGAATCAGGATTTCGTACCAAATTTGGGGTTTTCAGAATTTTGAATTTTAAGATTTTGGATTTTAGGGTTTAGGATTTTGGATTTTAGGGTTTCAGTTTTAGGATTTGAGGTTTGAAGTTTTGGTTTTAGGGTTTAAAGGATTTAGGGTTTAATTTAGGATTTAAAAAAACACGAACATCTCTAAAAATCCCTAACATCTAGGTGAATTTTCGAAGTAAGTTCGGTTTTTATGATTTTTGAAAATTTATTAAAAATCTTCATATATTTCCCTTTTTATGAAAACTTATTTTTAACAATAACATTAATTTTATTATTAGTATTAGTATTATTAATTTTAATTTTTTTATACATTTTATTAATTTTCTTTTTATAATTCCTCAACATCTAAATGAAATTATTTTTAGAATTGTGTTTTTATTCCCTCCAACATCTAGGCAGGAAAAATAAAATAAAAAAAATGAATTTTTATTACTATTTTTTAGATTATTATTATTTTTTAAAGCATTTTTAATATATATATTTTTAATTATTATCTTACTTGTTTTCATTTTTGTTATTATTAAAATAATTAAATATTTATTCTAAAAAATTTTAAAATTTATCATGCATAAATATATAAAAAAACTCAAAATTACAAAAATAATAATATATAAAAAATTCAAAAATTCAAAAAAAAAAATGAACCGGATCGACCTACGGCGGTTCGACTGGGCCAAAAACAGGTGTAGCTTAGTAAGCGGTTCAGTTGAATCGGTTGAGTGACGGTTCAGCGCATAGCTTAGTTGAACTGGTTCAAGGCTGGTTGAGCGGGTTGGCTGGTCGGTTTGCAGGGATCTCGGGTCGGGTAACAGGCACGTACAGATCCTTCTACGCTCAAAACGACGTCGTTTTAGGCTTTAGGCTTTTATATATAACTAAAAAAAAAAAATTTGGTTCATTCTTCTTCTGTTCTAAAAAAAAAATGGGTAGAGCTTTAGGGAGAGCTCCAGATCTCCCGCCGTCTGATTGTAGGACCATCAAGCGAACCGTCGCCTAGGTCACCGTTGGCGGTGGTCACCAATGATCGAAAATTTTAAAACTGACCGGGAGGTTCCTTTTAATCTCTTAAGTTCAGATCTGTCGTCCTTTTCACGAGAAATAACCTCGATCGTCGTAAATCTAGGCTTGAAGTTTTCTGTATTCTTTTTTTTCCTCTTTTTTTTTGTTTTTCTATTTGAAAACTAACTAATGCCTTTTTCTTCGGTGCAGGTGGCTCGCGCTAGGTTCCTCTCTACGGGGAGAACTGTGTTTTTGTTTTTGTCTTTTGTTTTTTTTTTTTTTTTTGTTATTATTTTGATTGTGGAATAGTTTAGGCTTTCTAAGGGTGGCAGGGAGTAGTGTTTAGGTTTTTTGGGTGTGGGAGTTTTCGCGTTTTTGGAAAATTTTGGGGATGTCCGAGAGAGAGTAGAAGGGGATAAAGCTGGGTTCTTTTTATAGAGTCTGTGTCGGTATGGATGTCTTAAGGGCTATAGGGGGTGGCTGTAGGAACGGTCAGTCTTATGGCTATCCGGTCTGGTCACATGGGTCAATGATCTGATGGGACTAGGTAGTGTGGTTGGATCAGATGTAGTCAGGCAAAAGGTTGGACAGAGACAGCAGCGGCATCGTACCAACCCTCTGTTTTCTGTCTTTTTTTTCTTTTTTTTAATGATTATTATAATATTTTTAATTTTTAATTTTTAATTAAATTGATATTATGATTATTATTATTATTATTATTATTAATAAAATTATTACTATTAATATTAAACTAAAATTGAAGATAGTAGATCCAGACAAAATCAGTATCTACAATGGATTTATACGATATGACATTAAGAAAGCTGGAAATGTAAATGATCAGGAAATTTTTGTTGGTGAAGGTAGAGTGCTGGCTGCGGGGACAACAAAGGAACGTGTGATATTAGGAGATGTAGTAAGTTTAATGCTAGGAATTTGCTAACAGTTTATTGGTCTTTACATGTAAACTGCAACCACTTAACCTACATTCAGAGTACTGATTAGGATCAAAGTGGATGAAATTGAACAAATTTAATCATATATAGAATAATGAATTTTTGAGCATTTAGCTGAGTTATCTCTTAAATTTTCTTGCTGCATTCAGCTATATGTTTGCTCTGCTTGACTTCTGGTGTCCTAAAGATGTATGACTTTGTGACTTGACATGAGTATCCCTTTATTCACATGGTTACTGGATACATAAAATAGTTATGGTGCATTGACTGTAAGGTGCTTATGAGCAATTTTGTCTTTGCCTGTCCTTGGATTAATAATACTACTTACTAACTTGAGATGTTGCAGGTTTGTTGTATTTGCATGGCAAAGTATGCAAACAATGATGGGCTAAGGTGGCAGCTGTGCATCCACTTACTTTTCAAAAAATAACTTTATTTTTATTCTTTCTCCTCGTTTGACAAATTACAAAACCACCGATCCTTAACCAAAGCATTCAATCTTTCAATGCCAGAATTTATTACCAACTTTTTAATAAGAGCCTCTGTTGATTCAAACCTTTGGATCAGTTGAACCTCGAATTGCTGATAAGGATAAATGAATTATTTATTTAATGGTTGTAATCCCTGTTGAAAAGCTGTGTAGTGTAAAACATATATGAAAAATAATATATAATTTTATTTAATTTTTACGGTTAAATCACAAATATATAATTTTATTTTATTCCCATGATGAAGCGCAGGCTTAAAACCAAATAAACATGTAAAAATTAAAATCTTTTAAAAAAATTTAATGTAAAATACTTATATTATTGACATATGAACAATTTTTAAAATGTTATCATGTATCTTCTTATAAATGTAATTTATTTTATTTGAAATTATCTTTTAAAAAAATAAATTAATTATATTTTATTTTTATTATTATCTATCTTAAATTATTCTTGATTAAATTCATATAAAAAAATAACAAAACTTTGATTACCATCATTAATACATAAAATAATTTTGTATCCCCTTTATATAGTCACTATTATATTAATTTCGATTTCTTTTCTATAAATTAATTTAAGTAAAAAAAACAAAATAAGAAATAATATTAATATCAGCACATAAGAAAACCACCTATTTTTATTTAATTGTTAAATCAAAACTTAATTAAATTAATGTATTTAATTGGATAAAGACATGACAATAGTATTAAACCTTACAGAGCCTTTTCATTCTAAAGCCTAATAAAAAATTTTCTTGGAGCTAATTCCTTAAGAGTGCCAATCTTACCTCATTATTTTAATTAGAATGGCCACTCCATTAGTAAAATCTGTTCCACCAAATCATTCCTCCCTCTGTTGGTCAATCATGAATATAACCAAAAAAGAACAGAAACCTCGTGTTAAATCATTTTCCAGAGATGGGTAGCCTATATGAAATGGAATATGGTAATGATTTTTAACAATACAATAGACATTTAACAGATTACTACTTACAGTTAGACATCCTACAAAATAATTTGGAAATTCAAAGTGAGAAAGAAAGAACTTCTGTTTTGTGGAGCTGAAAATAATGGGAACACTACACCATTCATTTATTTACACAAACAACTCAACGTATAGATAGGAGAACATCCAAGAGATGAGATGCTAACCCCACAAGACACTTCATCTGTAGCAACATACTACAAAATAAATAGAACCACAAGCAAAAAATTTGTTTAAACCCTCAACCTGGACCTCACAGGTTTTAACCAAACAATGTTTTCTATTATGCTTGCCAATTATATTATCTAGTCTTCTCAGCTGCTATCCTTTGAGGAAAGGTTCCAAAAACTCTGTCCCAAAACGCTGAAGTGATCCCAAAGCCCTTATTTTGAATCCTGAAGTGATGGTTCAAGTGATATTTCTGCAATAAACATGGTCAAATCATGGCAACAGAAAACTTATCCAAAATCTGCTACTACTACTTTGATGACGTCTAAAATCAGCTTTTATTCGGTGGAACTGAATATTTATAGTGAGAACCTGCTCTAGATAATGAGGAGTGTTAAACTAGCAAGAAAAGTTGCCTGCAACCAGTTAAAGCACAAGTATCTTACCTTAAGGCTTTTAGGAATTTGTTTAGTGGGCTGACCATGGTGTAGGTAGTAATGGGTAACATCATACATAACATACCCCAGCAAACCACCTCCAAACACAGCAGGAGTAGTGGAGGGAGTGGCTAAAAGCTTAACCAGGTTCCAAAACTGGTAAAAAGACAGCAAAAAACAAATGATAAGTGGAAATTAAGGAATTGGAATAATTCAAAAATACATGACTTACACAAGAAACAAAATGCTTTTCATCTGTACTTTTAGAGTTCAGAGTTTGAGGTTTCAAAGGATTTTGGATGACATTATCAAGAATAACAGGAAATGGAATTACCAACAGTTAAGGTAATTACACACATAAACTATTGTCAGACCCCTGAACTCATCTACTTGAATGGAGTCCTATAGCAAGCATCATGTAATATATGAAGAAACAAGAACTGAAACAAAATATACATACCGGTATGCATAGTACAGCAGCTGCAGCAGGTGGAAAAACAAGCCTTAGGCCATCCATAGGGTGCTTATGGTGGCAGCCATGAAGAAGATAGTGTATAGTGTTTCCCCTATACCAAAGTTCTCAATGAATTGTTACATCATTCTAGCATACTCTGAAGGCTAACATACACAGAAAGCAGACTAAAAATTATACTACAAACAAAAATATGGGAAAAATATGTGTATGTGTACAAGAGTCATGAGCCAAGGAGATAAAGAACTAACCAATAGCTCTTTGTTTCAATGTGGAAAAGGAAACGATGCAAAATATATTCCAGAAATGTCCACACAAAAATGCCAAAACCGACCATTAAAGCTATTTGGGGAAGTGTATGCCCCATACGTATAGACATGGAGATGCACCAGCACACAACTGGCAGCCATATGGTCGGAATTGCCCACCAGACAGTGCGGGTCAAGAACTGTTTCAAGTAAAATAAGTCAAAGAAGCATTAGCATGTTCCTATGACAAATTGCAAGCATAATGCTTAACTAAAATATTTCAAAATGTTTGTCAATACCTCCCAAAAATCACTCTCAAAAAATCGAGGACCCTCCTTGCTCACAATAGGCTGGTGAACCCAATCCTGATAAGCTTCTCCCAGGTGACCAACCTGACATAAATCCTTAAGACAGTCAAAATCTATAATCTGCAATTGGAGTTAGATATCCCCACACCTAATTTTCTCAAGATGATCTCATTGTTGCCTAGGATTTCTAAAGAGGATTTAAAAACGGAACAAGGAAGCAAAAGCGAGTAGCCAAAGAAAGTCAAGGAATAAAACAGAACAAAACGTTGTTAAGACGTTAGTGTAATTGACACAGCAGGAAACCATCTCAAGGAAATAAACAACAGGATCCACTAAACGATAAAAAATTGAAAAAGGAATCAATATCTCACACTCCTTTAATCACGAAAGAAACTGAATATGAGAAATGAAAAACAATTACTATAACATAGCTGTCAACTATTCATGCTTGTCCCAAAAGATAAAACAAAAATCAAACATACGATTTTGGTACCTGGAAGACAAGGGGTTTATTCAAATCAACGGTGAATTCCTGTGCAACCATCTTGGCAACTGCATAAAGAAATCACGGTTTAGCAAAGGATTAATAAATTATTAAATTTTGCTTCAAAGAATTAACAAAGAGAAGTAGGATTACACAAAATTCTACTTATCTCAGTCTATCAGAAGTTCATTCTATGGAATATATTCGAAATTTAAAATTTGCATTTCTACAAACACGTTTCGCCACTAGTGAATAAAGGCCGGAATCAGATTCCAATGTGTAGGATCCACTAATTATTCAAATTCTATAATACTAAATAAAGAATTCCCAGTAGATTTTTCTTCTTTTTTAAATCTCATTCTTTTAGTTTACATCCTTTCTCAGCCATCAAACAGAAAATTGAAGCAAAAAAAAAAAAAAGCCACTCAAAACTTAGTAAACCAATCACTTTCCGATCATGGATGAATCCCAGATTCAACCATGTTTTGGTAGCCAGATTTTCTCAGCACCCAAACAACAGAAAACACAATGTACTTAACAGAACCATCAATGAAAACCCATAATTCAGAAGAAAAAAGAAAACAATTTACCCCAGATCTAGAGATGAGAAAACCAGAAACCCAAAAAAGCAAATTACAAGAAAAAAAAAAGGCAGAAACAAAAGAAAAAGTACCAACCCAAGACAATGTGGGTTGGATCAAAGCCAAACCCACGAAGCTTGTCAATGTAAGGAGCACCTCAAAGACGAGCGTTTCGGCGGTTTTTTTGGAGGCTTCTGCTTTGGGGTTCTTTTTTTTTTTTTTGGCTTTGGTTTCGGCAAGTGAACCAAAGAGGGGCGAAAGAAAGGGAGACCTTGGGATAGCAATTACTATTATTTAAGGGAATCGTGGGAAGAGTGCGAGCAGATCTTAGCCGTTGATATAAAAAATTCTTGGATCCTCACTTTGGATTCTAAATTTCCAACGGTTGCCAGCCTGCCAGTTTTACGATCCAGCTTTGCATGGGTGGAAGGCAAATCTGTGGTGCATGTTTCTCACATGTAGCGAGAGAAGATTGGTTGATGGTATTCGGTCCTTCCCCTTGTGATTTTTTTTACGATCTGTTTTCGGCTAACTGCCGGTCAGCGCCAAAAGAGTTGGGTTTGTTGGAAAACCATTTTTTTTTTTTTTTAGCTACATAAATACTACTTTTCTCGAGTTTTATTTGTTTAGAGTAACGTCCATGCCCATGCCATAATTTTCAATTTTTCTTTCTTTAAAATAATTTGTATTTTATTTAAAATTATTAAAATTTTAATCACTAAAAATAAAAATTCAATAATTTATAAACAAATTACGTAATTGTTAGTTGAAAATAATTAATTTTGTTATTTTTTTATTCCTAGGAAGGAAACTGAAAATTACGAATAAGACAAGCACAAAAAATATTTAATGGCACCCTACACCAATAAAAATATTATTTATTTACCAGTACATAAAAATCTGATAATTATATCAAACAATAGCATTTTTGCCCATCCGTATGCGTCGGACTATTTTTTAATGTTTAAAAGAAGAAAATTTTTAAATTAAATAATATTATTATTTCTTCCATCTCAAAACATTTATTAAAAAAATTTAATATATTTAATATTAAAATTTAAAAATTTTTTATAAAATTAAAGATTCATTATTTTTAATATTAAAAAATAAAAATAATTTTAAAATATAAAAAATAAGAGTTTTAGATGTTCAAAAGATAAAATAAGAAATAATTTTGAAATATTTCAAAAAAGAAAGATGAACAAAAAAAAATAAAACAGAGGGAGTATAAAAATAATATTAATCAATTATAGCAAAGAATAAAGATTTTAATTTTTTTAAATCAATGATGAAAATAGAGATATTAATAGACAAAGTATGAGGCAAGTACAGAGATATAAACGAACAAAGAATTTAACGAATCGTTTATGAACATATGTAGTATCTATTCGTTTATATTTGTTTATTATCATTTGTGAACATATTTGGTTTTTATTTGTTTATATTCGTTTATTAACCTTAACAAATTATTTTGAACAATATTTTTATTTTCGTATATTAAATCAATCGAATACGAATAATAATCTGTTTGGTTCATTTATATTCATGAATAAGCTCGTTTAAAATTCATTTATTATTCGCTTATTATTTGTTTGTTGTTCATTTATGATCATACTAACAAAATTAAATTTTTATCATTTATCTTAATTCAATTTTAAGGTTCATTTATATTCATTGGAATTTGTTTTTATTCGTTTATAGTTTATTTGTTTAAATTTATTTGGTTATAATTTGTTTATTATTCATGAACATATTCATTTATATATATTCATGAATATATTCGTTTAATGTTCACGAATGAATTTGTTTAACTTAATTGATCTGTATACTAAACCAAACGTAAATATCTTATCATTTAAATGAGTCAAGCTCGAATGAACAAAGCAATTTTCTTACTAAACACAAACCAAGCCATAATACCTTTAAAAATAAATTGATAAACCACAAATATATGTTTGTTCATTCATGTTCGGTTCTTTATAGCCATAAGTGGGTAGAGTATTGTCTATCATCATCTTCATTTACGAATTTTTATATTATACTTATCTCTATACTCATATCCAATTGGTATTAAAATCTATCTCTATTTTTGTAAGTATTTAATAGGTATGAATAATCCTTGTACCTGTAGCTTTTAGAAAAAAATAAAAACTAAAATGTATTTTTTAAATTTTAAAAAAAATTATCTTACATATTTATGTAATTTTTTTATAAATATATAATTTAAATAAAAATATATTAATTCCAATTAATTTAAAATAATATTTTAAATTATTTAATAAAAATTTATTTACAAATATATATAATATAAATGTAGAGTATGGGTACATATATGAGACAGATACTATATTATCCATTCTTATCCTCATACCGAGTAAAAAATTTAAAATTATATCTACCCTTATCCTTACAATATAATACTCATTCTTATCCCCATTTGAACAAAAAATCATATTCTTTATTAAATATGAACAAAACAAACATCTTCAAATGAAAAGATTCCATTAATTAAGAAAGTAAAAAAGAAAAGTTATTTTTTAAAAAAAATTTTAAAAAATTTGTATTCAATAATTTTTCATTATTTAAAATGGTTATCAAATTAAAAATCAAATGTTAATTTTTTTACAAAACATTTTTTAATTATTTTTTAACCAAGTTAGTACCATTTAGCCATAAAAAACCAAGTTAGTACCCAAAAATTATTTTTTAAAAATTTTAAATCGATTGATCAAAATATTGTATTAGGTTAAATATAAAAACGGCACATGTATTACATTTTTTCTGTCAATTTGATACCTAAAATAATAAAATTATAAGTTTAGTACTCAAACTTTTAGTTTGTCATAACAAAATAATTTTCTTACTAAAAATGAACTGAACTCGAATACCTCTAAAAATAAACTAACAAATCACAAATATATATTTGTTCATTCATGTTCGATTTTTTATAGCCCTAAGTGGGTATAGTATTCTTTATCCCCATCTCCATCTGTAAATTTTTATATTATATCTATCTTTGTACCCATATCCAAAGGTTATTTAAAATCTATCTCCATCTTTACAAATATTTAATAAGTATAAATAATCCTTATACCCGTAGCTTTTAAAAAATAATAAAAACTAAAATGTATTTTTTTTATTTTAAAAAAAATTTATCTTACATATTTATGTAATTTTTTTTATAAATATATTAATATATAATTTAAATAAAAATATATTAATTCCAATTAATTTAAAATAATAATTTAAATTATTTAATAAAAATTTATTACTAAATATATATATTTTTGTAGAGTATGAATACATATATGAGACAGATGTTGTATTATCCATTCTTATCCTCATACCCGATAAAAAATTGAAATCATATATATCTCTATCCTTACAATATAATACTCATTTTTATCCCCTTTTGAACAAAAAATTAGATTCTCTATTAAGTATGGGTAAATTAACATCTTTAAATGAATAGATTCCATTAATGAAGAAAGTAAAAAAGAAAAATTATTTTTAAATTTTTTTTTAAAATGTTTGTATTCAATAATTTTTCATTATGTAAAATGGTTATAAAATTAAAAATCAAATGTTAATCTTTTTACAAAACAATTTTTAATTATTTTTAAGGTAATGAATAATTATTTTTTAATCAAGTTAGTACCATTTGGCCAAAAAAACCAAGTTAGTACCCAAAATTTTTTTATTTTTAAATTGATTGATCAAAATATTGTATTAGGGTAAATATAAAAATGGCTCATGTACTACATCTTTTTTGTCAGTTTGATACCTAAAGTAATAAAATTATAAGTTTCGTACTCAAACTTTCATTTTATCATAACAAAGCAATTTTCTTACTAAATACGAACCGAGCCTGAATACCTCTAAAAGTAAATGAACAAACCACAAATATATGTTTATTTGTTCATTGTTGGTTCTTTATAGCCTTAAATGGGTAGAGTATTCTTTATCCCCATCTTCATATATGAATTTTTATGTTAGACCTATCTTTGCATCCATATTCAAAGGGTATAAAATCTATCTACATCACTGCGAGTATTTAATGGGTATGAATAATACCTATATTAGTAGCTTTTAGAAAAAAATAAAAACTAAAATGTATTTTTTAAATTAAAAAAAATTATCTTACATATTTATGTAATTTTTTTATAAATATATTAATATGTAATTTAAATTAAAATATACTAATTCCAATTAATTTAAAATATTTAATAAAAATTTATTTACTAAATATATATATATAAATATTATTGTAAAGTATAGGTACATATACGAGACGGATCTTGTATTATCCATTCCCATCCTCGTACCCAGTAAAAAATTTAAAATCATATCTATCTCGATCCTTATAATATAATACTCATTCATATCCCCATTTGAACAAAAATTTAGATTCTCTATTAATTATAAGTAAAACTGGCATCTTTAAATGAATAGATTTCATTAATGAAGAAAGCAAAAAAGAAAAGTTATTTTTTAAAAAATTTTTAAAAAGTTTTATATTCAATAATTTTCCATTATATAAAATGGTTATAAAATTAAAAATCAAATGTTAATTTTTTTTACAAAACATTTTTTAATTATTTTTAAGGTAATGAATAATTATTTTTTAACCAAGTTAGTACCATTTGGCCAAAAAAACCAAGTTAGTACTTAGTACCCAAAAATTATTTTTTTATTTTTAAATTGATTGATCAAAATATTGTATTGGGTTAAATATAAAAATGGCCCATATATTATTTTTTTTCTATCAGTTTAGTACTTAAAGTAATAAATTTATAAGTTTGATACTCAAACTTTTATTTTGTCATCCAATTTAGTACCTCAAATAATGCCATTAGTTAATTTATTGATGTGGCATAAATATTTAATAAGATGTCCACATATGTCAAAAATTCATTTGACCCCACATCATCAATTGATATGTTAATATTAAAAGAAAATTTCAAAAAACTTAAAAAAATCTATAAAAAATTTAAAAAAATTTCAAATATTTAAAAATTTTTAAAAATTATAAAAACTTATAAAAATCTAAATTATTTTTAGAAATTATAAAAATTAAAAAAATATGACAACTTTAAAATTTTAAAAAGCTTAAAATTTTAATAAAAAAATCCAAAAAAAGAATTTAAAAACACAAAAAAAGAATATTTTAATAAAAATATTTTTTTAAAATTAAAAGAATTAACAAAAACTTAAAAAATTGAAAATAAAAATCTAAAATTTTTGTAAAATTTTGAAAATTAAAAATCTAAATTTTTTAAAAATTCTTAAAAATTTTAAAAAATTATGCAAAAATAAAAAATGTTCAAAAATATTAAATATTCTAAATTATTTAAAAAATAAAAAAATTTTAAAAATAAAAAATAAATAAACTTGAAATTAAAAAAAATCTTAAAAATTCATAAAATATATAAAAAAATAAAATTTTAATATTCATAATAATAATAAATTTTTAAAATTTTTTTGCAAATTTTAAAATATTTTTAGATTTTTTAAAATAGTTTAGATTTTTTATTTTGTATTTTTTAAGTTTTGTGAATTTTTTTAAATTTTAGGAAAATTTTCTTATTATTAAAATTTTTCAAAATTTTTATTATTTTTATATTTTTATCAATATTTTAAGATTTTTTTTTTCAAAATTTTAAGTTGTTGTAATTTTTTAAAAATATTTCATTTTTAAAAATTTTATTTTAATGTTAATATGGTAATTGATCATGTGATACTAAATAAACTTTTGACATGTGTCAATATCTTATTAGATATTTATACTACGTTAGACATTAGTCTTGGACACTAAAGTGGATGATAAAATAAAAATTAAAGTACAAAATTAAGAATTTTATATTTTTAAACACCAAATTGATAAAAAAAAAATGTATAATGCATAAGCTATTTTTATATTTATCCCTATTGTATTTAATTTTTTTTATATAAAAATACAAATGTAAAAACATATATGATATAATTATAAATAAAATTGGTTATTAGTGTATCATATAACTTATTTAGTATTATATTTAAGATATGGAATCACTTAAATTAAAATTAAAAATTGTTTATAATATTTATATCATTAATATTTAACATTAATCATTTTTTTTTATCTTTTGTTCTTTTATCATATATCAATTAATATTCTTTTAATTTCAAATTTAATACCCACATTCAAATTGATATAGAGATTAAAAAATTTTGACTTTAATGGTTTTAATATTACTTTTTAAATCTTTTATAATATTGCCAACTATAAATTTCAATAAAAAGTAAAAAAAATTAAAAATTAATATGAAACATTTCAAAAAACTTGTAAAGAAATTAACGTAATTTTGAGAAAATCTAAAATAGATGTGGACATTAATTTGAGAAAAAGAGAGTATGTGTTTTCATTAATTTTTCTTAGGTTGATTAATATTACTAAATTTTTTATGTATTTATTATTTATTATCTAATAATTATATCTTATTAACAAAGAAAAGTCAATTATATCAGTTGTATTTTTTAGGTTGATGAGTTGGAATCTGAATGTGACTTAAAATGGAGGATATGTTCGATTTGTCAAATAAAAATGAAAGATCGAAGGAACGTCGAAATTGTTGGCACACTCCGGAAGATAAATATAAAAAATAAAAATAATACAAAAAGGTTTTTTGAACTTTGATTTGGGTTCAAAACTCAATCCAAGTCTAATTAAACAATAAAGTCCTAAAATTAAAATGACTCAAAGGCCCAATAGTGACCCTGACTCAAATGGGTTATTATAAATCCCATAATTTCAGTATTGGAGCAAAAATAATTTTAATAGATCTTGAATAAAATGAATACAGTCATCAGTCAAATTTTATTTGAGTCATCAATCCAATTAAACTATAGCAAGCTAGCACTATAAATACAATACTCCACATCATCACAATTCACAATTTTAAAAAGAAAAAGAAAATTTTTAAGACTTAAAGCCTTTCCAAGTCTCAAGAATCAAATTATGAGGAATTAAAAAAATATGATGAACACATTTTTTGGAGTCTAAGAATTGTTAAGAAAATGGTATTCGATATTATTCAACCTAAAGGAAGAAGATCAATTTTATTTTTTAAGATCAAGTCAATAAATCTCTTGCGGTATTCAAAAACAAGTTAACATGACTTTTTGAAGCATTCAAAATCAAGTATACTAGATCCTTGAAGCAGATTTTTTTCGTGAAAAAAAAAATTTTAAGAATTTTTGAAAATTGTAATTTTCACAAATTGATAAATAAAATTTTGACTTGTCTCCAATTTTTTTAATTGCTATGACGTCATTTCAAAAATAAACAAGCCTAAACGAGCATATAAAGGATTCAAAAATTTGGCATTTAAAGATATCAACAGGAATGTTCCTACTCAGTGAGGATTGAAATAGAGAGAGAACATCAGTAAGAATATACGAAAACACACAACTTTTCTTGATTCTATAAATAGTCCATATGTAAACATACAGCAACATTTAACTAAAATATCTATATATGTCCAACTATACAATAATACAATGGAAGCAAGCTCTTCCCAACCACCCAAAAATGAAAAGAAAAAAAAAAAAATACTCCTACTAAAACATTGACAGTAGGTAAGTGGAGTTTACAGCTCAGCTCGGAGGGACACCAATCAATTTTGCTACTATTACGTACTATAATTAATTTTACCACGAGCGGCAGCATTAGCATAAAATAATGAAGAAATTTGTAATAAAATATATAATTCAGAGATAAAGAAAGAGGTGAAGAAATTTGGCTGTCAATTGTGATTGTGATGGTCCAATGAAGATGAAGATGAAGATTGGGTTGATATGGTTGTGGCTGAGGCTGATGATGTCCTTGGCGTTGCCGATTGTAGATGCGGTTGCTTCAACACCACCGTCGGCAGAATGCTTCTTTTCCTCCTTTCTTGCTCTTTGATTAACTCACCCCCAATCATCTCTATTTTCTCCAAATTTGTCACCTCACTCCTCTTCTTTCCTTTGAAAAGATGGGACTCCACATTTCTTTGTGCCATCATCTCCTTTGTAATGCTCATCAGGACTTGGGATTCCGAACTTGACCTTTTACTTTTAGGCATAATGTTAGAGATGGAGCCATTCCCCTGAATTCGGACATAGTTGCTTCCACCAAATTCTCCAAACGCCATCGAAACTGCTTGATCCACCTATCAATATCAATTTCAACATGGAATTAACTAGCTCCCTTTCACAATCAATTCATTTAATTATAATTAACATGCTCTCTCTCTCTCTCTTTATATATATATATATATATATATATATATATATATAAAACAAAACAAAACAAAAACAAAAACTACTTATAGTACTACTACAACTACTACTTACCATATCAGAAGCTCCCTCGCCGGCTATTCTAAGAAACCTTGCTTGCGGCGGAGTGAGATTAAGACCGTCGGAACCGAAACCCGACTCTCCATTCCCCAAAGACAACACCAAAACATCCTCCATGCCATTACAAAACGGAAACTCCTGCTTATTGTTTAGCACGTGTGTTATCGCTGCAGCCGTTGGATTGTTCATTGCCACCCCGCCTTCCACGGCCACGATCTTCGTTCTCTCATCCACCGATCTCATTTCCACCGCTCCCACCACCGTCGGATCAGCCGACGTTGCAAAACACACGTCCTTCATCTTGAAGTCATAGCCATCCATTTCCAATGCATCAGCGCGGGAAAACAAGAATGGCCCGTGGGAACAAAGATCATAGCAGGGTATCAAAACCGGCTTCAACGTATCTTTCAAAGTCAGCTCGCCAAAGGTTTTGGTCAACAGTTGTTTCTGTACCCTTGATGAACGGAAAAATTGACGGAATATTCCTTGAGGCGATGAGGGGAAGAGTTTCCGACGATTTTTTACGAGGAAATGAAGAGCCTGGTCGGCAGTAAAAATGGGGGCGCCATTTTGACCGCGAGTAAATAATAATGCAACGAGAATTCCACCAGCTCCGGAGCCAGCAGCAACGTCGAAATAATGGGCAATGGTGGCATTGGGATTTCCTGATTTCTGACGGAGAAAGGTTTGGAGGGTGAGGAGGGATTGGGCGGCCAATATACCATCGGAAAAGCTGCCACTGTCAATGGAAAGGATTCTTACTTTCCCAGTTACATGTTTCCCAGATTCCATTGCATTGACATTGTGGTAACCGAAAAGAAATCTGTTTTCAAGGATGGAGAAGATTTGGTTAGTAAGGCTGTCGACTTGGTTCATTGGGAGAGCCATTTTGGACGAAAATAAAAAATTAGAAACAGTGGAAGATATGAGAAGGAAAGTTTTAGAAACAAAGGGAACGGAATTGGATGAAGCGGACAAGCTGATACACACGTATATATATATATATATATATGTGTATATATATATATATAGTGATAGAGAAGAATAAATAAATTTAATAATAATAATAATAAAGTTTCTGATGACAAATTCGTGCGTCTATCTTATTGTGTAGAGAAGAATCCAGGAACATTCTTTAAGCTGACGATTAATCGGCGAGTATTTGGAGGGGATTGGCACTAGATTGCAGTCTGCCCTTTCCTGCCCTGCCCTGCCCTGCCCAGCCATTATTAGTAGTAGGCAATAGTATTTTATTGGAAAGTACTTGCTTTACTTTGCTCTGTTAGTACTCCCATATTTATATACTGTATATATGTCTTTTTATTGTCCTACCCTATTTTTAAATTTTTATGCTTTGGCTTTTCAATTGCATTTGAAATGTGGTCAAACAACAAAGAAAAAGATAAAAATTAAAAGACCACTTCTTTGCTTTTACTTTTACGTTCTCTCGTAAGTCTTAAAATTTAGTTTCTTTTCTTTCTCTTCCCTCCGTTTTAAATTAAAATTCTAATTCTAATTCTTTCTTTAATTCAATTTTCTGTCCCGCCTGCAGTGCTGCATGTCCGGAGAAAGGAGAATTGTTGTAAAAGCCACTTTAACCCACCTACTTAACTAAAACTACTAAATTTCTTCAACATTGGATTTTAGATAAAATTTTTTTAGATTGAATTTTTATCCAGACTAATTAAATTTTTTTTGTTAATTTTATTTTTAAAAATATTAAAAATTTATTATTTTATTTAAAAACAATCAATTTTAAAAATTGACGGATCAAATTGAATTTAACCTTGGTATAAATTTTAGAAGATCGAATGAATTAATAGGTCCAGTCGATGACCAGTGAACAGATTTACCAAAAATTATTATCCGTCCTTACAGTTAAATGTTTTAATTCAGTTTTGACAAATATCAAAAAGTAGGAATGAGAACTAAGAAGAGAAAGAGAATCCGAATATTGAACTTCCAATCTTGCGACAACCTGCACCTATGGGCCATAAGGATATACATTAACAATTTAAAACATGTAATTTTTTTTTATTTTTCATTTTACAATAAAATTATCAAAGGTGAGCTATTTAATGACTGTACCCTACAAAGTTAAGTCAGTACCGGTGGTCAGAAAGAAATCGGAGTAGGCCCATGGAAGATCATGTGGTGGTCTCTCTCTCTATATATTTTTTCATATTCACTTTTTGGTGGAGCCAAAAGCCAAAGCAAGATTATCTGATTTATTAATGTACGGCTGGTTGTACCGACAATTTTCTTGCTTACTTTATTTGCTAGTTGTATCAAAATATGAATATGAATATTGTATTTACTTCCTAATTAATTTGGTTTTGGTTTGTGAAAAGTATTAGTACTAGTATAACCATCATTTATCATCGGCCAGACTCCAGCACTAACAACTCATGTGTAGCTAGATAGATTAGATGTTGTCGATTCCAGTTGTCAATGGATAGGGATATTTCATTCATACGTATAGCCACTACAGCTTTGACTCTGCCTTGCCTTTGGACACATTCATTGGACAGATTATTTTTGTCCGTATTCATCATCCAATCCTGCCGTCACCGGATTTTTAGAAATTGTGAAAAATACATTTTCGCTTTTTAGTAGGGGTGAATGCTTGGAGAGAAATACAATTACTTTTGGTAATTTAATTCTTCACTAACAAGATTTTTTAGCACATTTTCAGTAATTTCATATTTCTGCGTTTACTTTATTTTATTTGAATCTAAAATTTTTGTTTTTGGATGACAAAAATGAAAGATTATTTAATTTTTTTTTTACTAAATTACTCTTTAAAACAAAAAGATGTTTTTATTCAAATGGTTTGATTCTTTTCCAAAGGAATCGATTTTTTTAAACAAAATAATATCCAAGAGTTTTTATGTTTCGGAGGATCGATCCTTGTGAGAAAATGATCAATCACGTTTTAAACATAATGATACTCAACAATTTATGCTTTAGGTAATCTATTTCAATTAAAAAAGGATCGATTATTTTTTAAACAAAATGATACCTAAGAACTTTTATATTTTAGGGACTGGTCCCTTTAAAAGAATCCTTTTTTAAGTAAAATGCCTCTTATTAAAATGATATTATTTTATATCTATTAAATATTTTATTTATTATAACTTATATTTAAATTAAACTTTTTTATCTACTGACAATTGATTCTAAATTAAATATTTGATATAATTCAAAGATTTTTATATTTGAGAGAATCAATCATCTTATATAAAGGATCGATCAATTTTTCATTTAAAGGTTAAAATGCCGTTTAAAATCAATTTCCTTGGAAATGAAACATTTGAAATATTTTAAGAATTATAAAAAAGTTTAAAAATTGAAATATTAAAAAAATAATTAAGAAAAATTAAAATTTTGAAAAACTCTTAAAATTTTAATAAAAATCTTTAAAAAATTTAATAAAAATTGAAAAAAATTGAAAAATTTTTTTTTAATAAAAGTAAAATTTTCTAAAAATTAAAAAAAAACACACAAAAAAACTTAAAAAATTTAAAATATTTTGAAAAATCTAAAAATATTTAAAAATTATGAAAAATTTTTATTATTTTGAATCTTACAATGTTAATTGTTTATATATTTCATGAGTTTTTTAGATTTTTTTAACTTTTTGGATTTTTTATTAAAATTTTAAGTTTATTTATTTTTTACTTTTAAAAGTTTTTTAATTTTTTAATAATTTTTTTTTTAAATTTTACAAACTTGAAAAAAGTCGACCTACGACAATAATAAGGCCAGCTCATTAGCCTTAAAAGAAAAAACCTCAGAAAGATATTACTTGAAAAACACCAGAACCTAAACTACTTTAAAATCCAAGAAAACCACATCATAACAACCACTTAATAAGGACTTGGAAGATTGGATGAAAGCGATAGAAAGAGAGCTAAAAAAATAATACCTCTATTTTCAATGACAAGTTCAAGTTCTTAGAAACCTCCCCCTTTATCGGGGACATCCATCGAGCTTTTCCCCTCAAAGGATTTAAAATTCCAACTATTGAGACCTATGATGGCACAACTAATCCTTTTGATCATTTTGAACTTGTCAAGAAAAACATGCTGATCTAAAGAGCCGATGAACCATTGATGAGTAAGGGTTTCGCAACCACCCTTAAAAAGGTAGCTCAATCTTAGTATACAAGCCTTAAGCCTAGGTCAATTTCAACTTTCAATCAACTCAATCACTCATTTTTAATCCACTTTGTCAATAGTCGCTGAATAAAAAAAAAAACCCTCAAGTTTGATGTCCATTTACCAAGGACATAGGGAATTTTTAAAGGAATATGTAACGTGTTTCAATGCTAAAGCTCTTCAAGTTAAAGATTTAGAGCAAGCTGCTACCATTGCCTCCCTACAAGTGGGCTTAATGATAAAGAATCCCACTTTAAGCTGACTTTCTTTGAAACCCTCAAAAACCTTAGCCAATGTGCTTTTGATAGAAGAAAAGTACATCAATGTCAAAATTACGATGAAAAACAGCCAAAGTGAAAGAGAGGCATGTCCTCACAAAGGACATAAAAAGGGTATAAAGGTCTACAATCACCCAAAAATAAAGAAATCTATAAAGGGGTACCTTTGGGTAAGGAGCATGAATAAAAGATATGATAACTACATAACACTGAATACCTCTCAATAGAAGATTTTGATGTAGATTGAAAGGGACCCTAACTCAAATAGCCTAATCCATTGAGACAGAATAGTAGAAAAGACTCGAACAAAATATATGTTTTCCAATGTGACCATGACAACACGATCGATGAATGCATTAACTTGAAAAATAAGATTAAAACCTTGATAAGAATAGGTCAGCTAGATAGGTTCATCAACAACAAAAGACAAAGGCAAAATAAAAGAGATTTTTCAAGAAGAGAATATGATGATTGTTAACTTTTTATGTGAGATAATGATCCAAGATAGGATAAATTAGATTTTTCCAAATTCTTTTCAAACAATGATTTCAAGATAATTGAATAGGAAATTAAAATAATAAGCTCTTTAATAGAGATATAATGCAATCAACAACAATTAATGAACCTAAAATCAAATATAAACAATAATAAATGTAAAAAAAATAGGGATAGAGAAATTAAATACAATAATTTATAGAGGTTCTATACTTTTTCACAAGGCACCTATGTCTTTTCTTTTAACTACCTACACCAAGCTTCAATTCACTAATCTTGAATTAGAAAAATACAACACTATTTTTTTCTCTCTAAGGCTAAAGATAGAAACTTAATACTCTTTACTTTTCTAGGCTAAGTAGCAACCTCTCAATCTCACAACTTTAAAAGGATATCTTACTTCTTGATTGTAAAAATACTCAAATAATTTTTGCAAACTAAAACACCTTTCAAAAGCTAAGTGTTTGTTTAATAAAGTATAAAGAAATCGATGAAAGAATACAACAAAGATAACTTTAATACAACTAATAGAAAGATATGAAATTTTAACTCTATAACTCTTAATTTCTTGAGAGATATGAATGTATAGCTTTTTAGATCTTCTCTTTTGGCTTTAATGGTGTTGGAAGACTTGTGTATATAAAGAAATTGAAGAGCTAGCCTTCGGGATAGTTTGGAAGAAGAAATGCCAATTGAAAATTTGAAAAACTAGCCATTTGGAGCAATTTGTGAAAGACCAAATCAATTGGTTTTTTGACGGGATCAATGATGTGCCTTACCTAATCGATCCTCTAAGGCCATTTCCATGCATCCATGGCTTTTTAGAAAGGGAGAAGATCAATCCTGTTGATATGGTGATCGATCTTATGTATGAAACCCTATATTCAATCGATCTTTTTAGCTAAGTGATCGATTAGTTTTTGTAAAAGTAAAACTTGAAAGCTTTCTAGAAAAAAAATTAATTGATCCATTATAATAGAAGATCGATTGGTTTAGACAGGGTATCGATCCTATCCCTTAAGGGATTCATCCATT